GGGGGGGGGGGGGGGGGGGGGGGGGGGGGGGGGAGGGTGATGGGAGAAAATGGCCAGAAGAGGAAAGAGCATCACTTCGTTTCATTCATTGATCAACGATTACATGAAGAATTGATGCTTTAAAATTAAATGACTGAATGAGAAAAAGAAAAAATAATAATTTAATATTTTTCTACTATCAATAAGACTCAATCTGAATAGACTGAAGGTTTTGTAGACAGGTAATTTTTTTTTCATTATTATGATTTTTTTTTCAAAACAGAGTTTCTCTATGTAGTCCTGGCTGTCTTGAAACTTATTCTGTAGAGCAGGCTGAGCTTGAACTCAGAGATCTGCCTGTCTCAGTCTCTCAAGTGTTGGGATTAAAGGCACACTATGGCCAGTTTAAATTTACATTTATTTTTACTATTTTATGAGTGTTTTGCATGTACATCTGAGTACCACGTTGTGGACGCTAAGAATCAAACCCAGGTCCTTTGCAACAGCAAGAAAGGCTCTTAACCACTGAGCCAGCTCTCCCGCACTAATTTTCATTGTTTCAAGTAGAAAAACTTCCATACTTAGAACTAGTAAGCTATTGAACTAAGAGGATGTCAGCCCTTAGATAATGAGATGCTTTGAGAATACTGCAATGGCAAGGGCCACTTGGTTTATCCATAAGGATGATACACAGATACGGTGGGCAAGCACAGCAAGCCACAAACACTGTGCTAGATTCCATGAGCAAGATGAACTGGATTACTTCATTTCTAAGGCTAGCAACACGAAGACTGAACGTAGACAACTGTTTTAGAATATCACTTACTCAAGCCCGGAATTCATTAACATGGTATCTTGGGAGTCAGCTAGCTCTGGGGAACCTCTTGTCTCTCCCTTACAAAGCTGGGACTCCAGGTGAGCTCTGACACTCACCATGCATTCTGGGGATGCAAACTCTGGGCCTCTCTCTTGCATGGCAAGTGCCTTAAGTGCTGAGTTGCCTCCTGTTGGTAGTGATGTGTTGCGTGTGTTCGGGTAGGCCAGAGAACCACTTTGGCCTACATTTGAGCCAATCTGCATCGTTGTCTCAGAGTCTCTCACTGAGAGGCTCTGGATCAGGCTAGGCCTACTAGCTCAGTCTGTACTACCACACCCGGCTGTTTATGATCAAACTCAGGTCTTTGTGCTTGTAGGGAAACTATTTACCAACGGAATCTTCTCCCCTGCCCCTTTAACTGTCTCCCCAGTATAGGGAACAGAGACGTCCTGAATGAAAAGCCCTGAGTGAAATTGTGCGCTTGACAGGGACACAGCTGTGTCCAGGACCCCATATCCTCAGGCTCAGAGGGACACACACCAAAGGGAACTGATCCTGAGTGCTGATAGCGTATGCAGAAAATGTCCACCACTGCTTTCTCCCCTGGTGTGTTTCTGGTGTGTAGGCTCCTCTCCAGAGACTGCTCCTGTCATGATTAGCTGAGCCTGTCACTTTGACCCAGCTGTACGCCATAATCCCCGTCTTCTTTTCCAGCTGTGTGCAATAACTTGCTCTCTCATTTCAACTGTCTATAGTAACTAGCACACTGAGTTTCCGGGGTGCCGAGACTTCTCTAGCAGACAGCTCTGACCATCCCCCCCATCCAGATCGCTATTCCTATGTCCGTCTGTCT